CAGAGGATCAGCTTGTGCCCAGTGAGTCACAGGGATCTGCATGAATCACATTTGCTGACGCCGAAGCTCAGGCTCTTGGATCAGACTGTTGTTCTGCTGCCTGCAAACTGCCCAGCCCCACTGCCCAGCCCCCCTGCCCTGCCCAGTCTGCTTGTCTGTGGCTTTGGGAACGTGAGAGGAGTGTTCTGAAGTTATTTCAGCCACTGTGCAAATATTTATGCTGTCTGTGATGCTCTCTGCTAATGGTCTCCATCTTTAGGCACAGCCTGATTCCTGTGATGCTTTCAGCTGGAACATGGTTTTTGGGATGGGGAAGGGAGCCCCATATAAACATAAATGGAAACTGGCCTTTGGTTTTTGGAGGACAAATCAAGCAGGTACCACCAGATGCCAGCTTGGTGGGATACCTTCAGGGAGGGACATGAATTTAACTGCCCTGCAGATGACTTCACAGCCCATGAAGTTCAAGCACTTTCCCTCAGACCAGCACCAGGAAACGGGCAACGTTGTGCCCACTTGCACAGTGATTTTTTGGGACCTTAGTACAAATCAGGCTTGGATGCTTGTTTGCTTCTTCCTTCAAGTGATAATGGTCTCCAAACGTGTCTCTTCTTTCACCCTCCTGAGCTTGTACACCTGTAAAAGAGAATATCCTATAATTAGGGAGTAATGGGAGGATTTTTTGCCTTGATGTCACCGTGAGGAGTATGGAAGTAAAAGCAGTGTTGAAAAACACAACTGAGGTCACTGGGTTTGTATCCATTAGACTATTTATATTGGCCTTGATCCTGCAAATGTGCTCAGAGGTGAGAAGAGCAGAGGTTTAGTACTCTTGGTCTCTGTTGTTCCAGCTTTCAATTTTATTGCCTGAAAAACTGAAAAAAGCAACTGTATTTTCCTCTTCAGCAGCAAATCAGCATTTTCCATCCCTGCTTTTTGTTAAAATCTGGCAGGAGGTCTAAATAAACCAACAACCTTCAAGGAAGGTGCACAAATAATGGGATTTCTTCAACTAATTTAATCTGCCAGCATTGAATACTTAACTGTATCTCTGTGTTGGGCAGCACATTTTTGGCAGGGAGGTAAGTGACTTGTTTCTATGACAACAGAGATCATGTCATGGATACTTGGGGAAGACAAAACTGAGCGCTCTCGGCTTCCGCTGCAAGAAAGACGTTTCAAATGTGAGCACAAAAGGAACCTAAGATAACTGATTTCTCTGTGTATCCTTCTTTAGTGTGATAAAATACTTCCTCCCAGATGTTGCTTAGAGCTACCAGTTTCACAAATGTAACAAGCAAGTGGGTATCTGGCTCTTTTCCCCCTCCACCTGCTCTTGCTCAGCAGTGAAGAGAAGCAGCCCTTGCAGAGGGTGGTGAGATTTACTCTCCTCATCATGACTCGTGTAGAAATGGATGAATTAGGATAAAATGGATGTTGCTATCTTGATTTTATTCCTGCATGACTTATTATTCCCTTGATTCATTAAGAAGCCTTCAATGTTGAGGTGATAAATGGAGAAGGAGCACTGGACTTGCTGAAGTGCTGGACGGGCAGGTTTGCACAAAAAGGAGCCCTTTGACTTAATAATTATGTGTTGGTAACAAAAGCCAGTAAAAGCTGCTGCATCTGATTGTGTTTTAATAGACTTAATGCTTTACCCTGTAAAAGAAATGGAAAAACAAAGGCGAGGTAACTGGAGGGACAGTTTGCTTTGCTCATCCTAATGGGTTTTAATTGTTTCATGCAGGCAGATTTCTAACATCCTGGCACACACTTGCACTGAGTGCTCTGCCCTCCTGCCTGGGAGGAGAGGAGCAGAGGGAGCATCAGTGCCTGAACTAACAGGAAAAATCAGTGAGGGAGAGGTGTGGTAAGAGAATGTGGAATGAATACAGCTGGAGGTGGCTACATCCCAGGGCAGGACACCAGTGGGGGGGTTGCTGGGGGGTCATGGGGCTGAGTTTCCATTTGTCTGGGTTCAGTGAGACCCTGGTGCACGATTAAAGCTTTTAGGTACCAGGGTTGTGCTGTGTCAGTTGCTACTTCAGCGTCCTGGTTGGTTCAGACAGGATCAGATGGATGGGAGGATCAGATGGATGGCAGGATTAGGTTGTGGGTAAATAGCTTCCATTTTGGGAAAAAACAAAACAATAACGAAAAGGCAGGAAAAAAAAGGTGTATTGAGGGGTCAGGGAGGGAGTATGATCAAGTGGCTGAGAAAGGGGACAAAGGATGAATTCTGGGTTGACCTGCTATGAGTGTGAGTCACAGAATCATAAAATGGTTTGGGTTGGAAGGGACCTCAGAGATCATCCAGATCCAACCCCCTGCATGGGCAGGGACACCTCCCACCAGCCCAGGCTGCTCCAAGCCCCATCCAACCTGCCCTTCAACACCCCCAGGGATGGGGCAGCCACAGCTTCCCTGGGCAACCTGTTCCAGCACCTTCCTCCCCTCATGCTGAAGAATTTCTTCCTGATGTCTAAAATACATCTACTCTCAGTTTAAAACCATTACCCCTTGTCCTAACATAAGCCTGGGGTCCCTGGCTTGTGTTTCAAGTGCAGAAATAGGAGAAAACAGCACAGAAGAGGCATGAGAAACCTGGTGTTTCTTAGGGCAACAGCCAAATTGGTGCCAAGATACCATCTATGAGACCCAGCTTTCCTGAAATGCTGGTGACACTGGCACTGTGGGGCACTGTGCTTGCAGCCTGTGGCTCAGCACAGCCCAAACCTGCCCCATGCAGCCCTGAGCTCTTTGCAGAACTGACCCTAATGAGCTTAAACGTTGAGCGGTGATGGCCCCGGGGAGTGGCAGCTGTGCTGGTCTGCACCCCCTGCTTGCTGCTGCAAGCTGCTTTGGGCAAGGCTTTGCCATCTGATGATTATCCTTCGGGGCCAGGGATGTGTCTGGCTGGGTCAGAGGAGCAGTGAGACAGCAGTGGAGACGTGGGAGGGTGTCAGCAAGGCAATGCCACAGCTGGATCAAGGAGCCCAGCCCGGGGTGCATCACACTCAGGCTTAAATAAGTTATTTAGCACCCTGCTCAGTTGCTTAAACTGGTGATTTGTAGGCTGATGGCTGCAATTTGCATAGAAGGTATAAAAATAGTATCAATTACTGAGTCCTCTCCATAGCCTATATCTGGCACAGTGTCCTATATAATCTCAACTCTCCGTTTCAGAGAGAGATCTAAGCAGGGAGAAGAGCTGATTCCTGATGCTGCTCAGTTGGTTTCAAGGTGAAGATGTTAAAATGCAGGTTAGCCCTCCCTCCCTTTGCCTGGTGATGGTTTCCATCAGGGAAAGTGTTTTCTTCCACCTCCCATCAGCTGCATGGGCAGGGACACCTCCCACCAGCCCAGGCTGCTCCAAGCCCCATCCAACCTGCCCTTCAACACCCCCAGGGATGGGGCAGCCACAGCTTCCCTGGGCAACCTGTTCCAGCACCTTCCTCCCCTCATGCTGAAGAATTTCTTCCTGATGTCTAAAATACATCTACTCTCAGTTTAAAACCATTACCCCTTGTCCTAACATAAGCCTGGGGTCCCTGGCTTGTGTTTCAAGTGCAGAAATAGGAGAAAACAGCACAGAAGAGGCATGAGAAACCTGGTGTTTCTTAGGGCAACAGCCAAATTGGTGCCAAGATACCATCTATGAGACCCAGCTTTCCTGAAATGCTGGTGACACTGGCACTGTGGGGCACTGTGCTTGCAGCCTGTGGCTCAGCACAGCCCAAACCTGCCCCATGCAGCCCTGAGCTCTTTGCAGAACTGACCCTAATGAGCTTAAACGTTGAGCGGTGATGGCCCCGGGGAGTGGCAGCTGTGCTGGTCTGCACCCCCTGCTTGCTGCTGCAAGCTGCTTTGGGCAAGGCTTTGCCATCTGATGATTATCCTTCGGGGCCAGGGATGTGTCTGGCTGGGTCAGAGGAGCAGTGAGACAGCAGTGGAGACGTGGGAGGGTGTCAGCAAGGCAATGCCACAGCTGGATCAAGGAGCCCAGCCCGGGGTGCATCACACTCAGGCTTAAATAAGTTATTTAGCACCCTGCTCAGTTGCTTAAACTGGTGATTTGTAGGCTGATGGCTGCAATTTGCATAGAAGGTATAAAAATAGTATCAATTACTGAGTCCTCTCCATAGCCTATATCTGGCACAGTGTCCTATATAATCTCAACTCTCCGTTTCAGAGAGAGATCTAAGCAGGGAGAAGAGCTGATTCCTGATGCTGCTCAGTTGGTTTCAAGGTGAAGATGTTAAAATGCAGGTTAGCCCTCCCTCCCTTTGCCTGGTGATGGTTTCCATCAGGGAAAGTGTTTTCTTCCACCTCCCATCAGGCTTAAATGGAGCAAGCAAGACATTTCATGTTGAGCCCTAACAATGTTCCTTTGTCCTGACACACCTCTTGATTGCCACCTTTGTCCTCTGGAAGTAACAGGGTGATGTTTTTGGAGCTGCCTCTCCTTTCCAAATGCTGTGGGTGAAGTGGGGAGCAGCAGGATTCAGGTGCCACTGGACTGATCCAGTGAGGCTCTGGGAGACCAAAACACTTCACAGCACAAGGTTTGGTGTTGCACTGAAATCACTGGGTCAGGTAACTGCTGAGGTGCTTTAAGTCCATTTAACTGCAACATCAGTGTCTTGCAATTAGTGCAAGAACTCATCAGCTGGGCTGTGGCAGAGCCTGGGGCTGCCCAGTGCAGCAGCGGTTAGATTAGGTTAGTTGCAACATCATGTTCCTCTCTTGAGCTGTGAATTTGCTTTTATCCTTCATGCTCTTGGCCAGGAGTGAAAGGCCAGGAAGGCCCCAGAGCTCTTTCCTCTTATTTTGGTTTCCAAGCACTTTGCAAAACTTCTGATCCTCTGGGCTACAGGCAAGGAATAATTTGCCTGCTTTGCACTTAGCCCTGCAAAGCTGGTCCTCTGGGGGAAAAAAAGGGCAGGGATGCTGGCTTGGATCTGCATCCTTCTGTCCATGCTCAGTCCTTTCCTCAGATGGCTGGTGAGCCTGGAATTTTACATGGAATGATGGATACTGGGACTGCATTAGAAATCTACTTGATGTTTTGGTTTTAGCCTTTGCAGGTGGTAGTGGTTGCCCTCGATGCTTAAGCACTTCTTTGCCCATTGGATTTGAATCAGTCCCATTAATTTTTCTTCTTCTAGAAATGTGCACCAAGAGGAGCAAAGCCCCCGTTTCCTAAAGGTAATCTAGGAGGCCAGAAGGAGAAAACAAGTTTGGACAGGCTGGAGCTGAAGCTTTTCCCTGTTACTTAGATTGTTCACAGGGGAATTCCTCAGAGAATCCTTTTCTTGGAGAAAACATGGCAATGGGAGATGTGGACTGTAGTGTGTATAGCACAGTGCACTGGTTTCCCAAAACCTGCTCAAGAACAGGGCCCCTGACCTCTGCTCTGCTGTAAGATGCCAAACATGGTCTTCAGGGAGGTTTTTATCATTTCCAGTCTTTTTGCCCTTCCATTTGCCTTATGGATTTGATCTTTTGTGTGCTCCCAGCTGAATGGCACTAAATCTTTCTGAAGTCCAAGGGACAACTGGATTTTACAGTCAGTTAAAGAACAGCTGAAGAAAAAGCCAAGTAGTGTGTTCCTTTGCCAGCTCTCAAAACCCCCCTGGGTGCTGGGAGAGGTGTTTGGTTTTTCTTTCCTTTTCCCAGCTGATGGGAATGGAAAGAAGTGAGGGAGAAGTGACACAGGGTGTGACTGGTGCCACGGCTGGTCCTTCGCTTGCACCCAGAAGTCATCCCTGACAAAACCATCCTATTTCTCTGACAACACCACCCTATTTTTAGCTGCCTCCACCTGACGAGCTGTCCTTGTCTGGTTTAAGAACCTGGCCTGCAGCCATCCACACATCACAGCTTGGGGGTAATTCCCTTCTCCTGCCTTAAGTAAGGGAACTACTCACGTCTTCCTGCTCCAGTGAACTACAAATCCCCCTCGATGTGGTTGCACCAAACCAGTCCCAGGGGATGCTACTTTTGGTGGGGATCCCCCCACCTCCAAGCGTGGGGCAGCCCAAGGGGATGAGGTGGCTTTGTCTGCAGAGCTCCCTCCCTGCTTTTCCTGCAAACACACACTTTTCCGGGATTTGAAAACAGCCCCTGGGATGAGGCCAAATGTGAGGGCTCTGCCTTGCCTGATGCACAGCACTCCCCAGGGACAGGCTTTTTCCTTCCTTGCTTCAAGGTCTGAAGAGCAGGATGAAGCCACTGAAATCACAGGATCACAGAATGTTTAGGGTTGGAAGGCACCTCCAAAGATGATCGAGTCCAACCCCCCTGCCAGAGCAGGACCAAAACTAGGGCAGGTCACTCAGAAAGGCATCCAGGTGGGTCTTGAAAGTCTCCAGAGGAGGAGACTCCACAACCTCTCTGGGCAGCCTGTCCCAGGGCTCTGTCACCCTCACAGGACACAAGTTCTTCCTCATGTTGAGATGGAACTTCCTGGGCTCCAGTTTGAGTCCATTGCCCCTTGTCCTATCCCAGGGCACAAATGACAAGAACTTGTCCCTGCCTTCTTGCTGCCCTCATGTATTTATAGACATTAACTAGATCCTCCCTCAGTCTTCTCCTCTCCAGACTGAACAGCCCCAGGTCTCTCAGCCTTTCCCCATCAGACAGATGTTCCAGTCCCTTCATCATCCTTGTAGCTTCTGTTAGAAATGGAGGCAAAATGTCCAAGTCTGGATTTGTTCTCTATTCAGGAGCTGGACTGGAGGAAAAACTGCCACTAGGAGAGAGCAGGGACTGCCTGGGAGCCAGAAGGTCCTTCCTAATCCTTTTTCCACCACGGGTTTGTTGCCTCAGTTGCCTCCTGCCTCTCCTGTGTTGATTTAACCCCCAAATACAGGACTTTGCTCTGAGCCAAGTGCTGGAGCAGCACAAGGGGTGGGGACAGCTGGTGTTTCTTTGTAGAACATCAGGTTTCTTCTGTGGCCGGGCAGGATGGTTGGACCCCAGCGATAAGCCCAGTTCTTCCTCTTCAGCTATTTGAAGATGGGCAGGGTGTTATTTTTAGTGCCTGCATGTAAAGTCAGCACTTGAAAAGTCTTTCTGGAAGCCTTGAGCCTTGTCTGCTTGGAGGCCTCTCGTTCTGTCTAATTTGGGCAGGGTTGCACACTTGGAGATCTGCCTGGGGATTGGGAGACCTTGTAAAAATTCCTGCTAACAAGCCTGTGTCCCTGAAGCTGTTGCTGCACTTGGAGATATTTATTAATCAGCTGTGAGGTGTCCTTATCTGTTCAGAAGGAGCAGGTCCTTCTCTGTGGCTGCTGCTGAGACTGATGGAGCATAAAACCCACCATGTATGTCACCTAAGAAACCCCCTTGATGTTGTTCCTCAAGGATATAACCCCATGTCATACCCAGAATACTTTTTCTCCTCTCTCCCATGTGTGCAGAAGCAGAGTGGTGGAAGGTGTTCCATCCAGTCTGAGCTTCTCTAAGGAGTGTGTCTGGTAACTCCCTTTGCCTCTAACTTGCAGGAGTCAGAGTCTGAGAACAAGCTGGATGGAGAGACAGCATCAGACAGCGAAAGCAAATCTGAATTTGGAGGCTCTCCCCCAGTGCCAACGTCAGATGACACTCCAGAGGTCCTGAACAGAGCCCTCTCCAACCTCTCCTCAAGGTAAAACTCCCCAAGCATCGTTCCTGGCAGTGGCTGCAGGAGCTGGAGCAGCTGCTCTGGGAAGCTTGGAGCTGTGCTCTCCTCCCTGCACCAGGAAGGTGCCCCAGGCCACAGGAAGCAGAAGATGAGGGCTTGGGGCTGCTGGGCCTGTGTGGTGACCAGGGCAGAGGACACCTTGATGGAGTCTTGGTTTTGGGACATGAAAAGAGGTCTGGGTGGAGCAGAAGACGTTGGTTTAGCTTTGACAGTCTCAGCAAAGACTTCAGCTGTGGTGTTTGAGCACTGGTGTGACCTGCTTCTGCAGGAGGGTGGGAGAAGAGCATGCTGATGAGGGCAAGATATAGGAACAGGCTGGAAATGTTCTCTACTGGCTGCTCTGGGGAAAAAGCATCTTATTTACATACTGGGAGAAAGTGTCTGTCCTGGGGGTGCTGTGAGGATGTGAGAAGCTCCAGGCAGGATCTGCTGGAGAGAAGTGAGGGTACAATACACCAGGGCCCATGGCTCTTCTTGGAAGGGAGTGCAGAGAGGGGTGATGGTCTCCATTTTCACAGAATTGTTCTGGTTGAAAACGACCTTTAAGATCATCAAGTCCAACCATAACCCAACTCCAGCAACGATTAACTCACCTGTACCAGGTCCAGTGCTTAAACCAGAGCATTAAACTATTTTATCTGAACTTACCATGAGCTTGTCCAAGGTGTGGGAAACCTGTAGAAGGACAGGAACAAACTCTGCTGTCCCATTTCAGTGCCCTTGGAGATGTTCTGCACCTGGCCAGTGCTTTTTGCCTTCAGTGAGGTTCACAGCAGGGAAGACCCAGCTGTAGCCTTGCAGGGGCTGCAACCAGGCCTTCTTCAGTGGATCAAATCTCTCTGCAGCACCAAAAGTGATCTTGGGGTTTCCAGAGCTCAGTTTCCTTCCTATGATGTGCAGAGAGCAGAAGTGCTGTCCTGCTCCCTTGCTTTGTTTTGACTTGCTCTAACTTCTTCCCTTCTCTGTTACCTAGATGGAAGAATTGGTGGGTAAGAGGCATCCTCACACTGGCAATGATCACTTTCTTCTTCATCATCATCTACTTGGGACCCATGGTCTTAATGATGATAGTAAGTGCTCCAGGAGAGATGTCCTGACATTCACAGCTAAAGGGGGAAAGGTTATTGGGACCATTGCTGCAGTGGGCAGCTCAGAGCCTCAGATTTTAGAGACCCTTACTCAGCTTGCTGGATTTCCGTCTCCATGGAGGAAACCTGGAAGGAATCTGTGACCACCCACCAGGGGGCTCAGCATTTGGCTCCAGCTCAAACTAATACAAGGGGTCGTTAGAAATTTCCTGCAGAGGGAAGGAGAGGGAAGAGCAACATGGTGAGCTCCTTCTGTTGGATCAGGAGCTTCCTGCCAGACTGACAGTGACTGCTGAAGTATCTTTAGCTCTGCACATGCATGTTTTTTATCTCCTTGAGGAAGGAGATACTTAACCAACATGTATTATAGCTTCTGGATTGTCCTTTTGTGCAGGTGATGTGTGTCCAGATCAAATGTTTCCACGAGATCATCACCATTGGCTACAACGTGTACCACTCGTATGACCTGCCCTGGTTCAGGACACTCAGCTGGTGAGTAGGGGGCTGCTCCCCCCACAGGCTTGTGCCAGCAGCTGCAGACAAGGGGAACATCTGCCCACCTCCAGGAAAAGCCCCCATAAACCTCATGCCTGCAATGATAAAGTTTGACCTGTTGTTAATGGAGCAGAGATTGGAATCCCATGATCAAGGGACATCACTGACTGGTGTCACCGCTTAGAGAGGGACACCGTTGCTTGGATGGGATGGGATTTTTAGGTGGTTGTGGAACAGGGCTGAGCACTGGGACAGGAGGGTTGGGGGGGGCAGGAGCAGGGCTCTCAGCAGGCACGGAGCAGGTGGTGGCAGGAGGGAGCAGAGGCCGGTGGAGGAGTGACACCTAAAGGCAAGAAGGCTTCATGCAGCTGAAGGCCAAAACTAAACCCCCGGGCTCTGATCCACAGCACTGGGATGCTTTGTGTTTAAATGAAAGTGATAAATAAAGCTCTGGCTGTCACTTGAGGACAGCCTGTCTGCAGGGCACCAGAGGCCTTCAGGGTCAGTCACTTTCTGTGTTTCTCCACAAGCCTTTTTGGGTTCCTGCTCACAAGCATCTGCCTCCTTCACAGGTACTTCCTGCTGTGTGTAAACTACTTTTTCTATGGTGAGACTGTGACAGATTATTTCTTCACCCTGGTCCAGAGAGAGGAGCCCCTGAGGATTCTCAGCAAATACCATCGCTTCATTTCTTTCGCCCTCTACTTGACAGGTAGGGATCACATTTTCTGTTGCTTTAACTTTTCTGGGCTAGAGGGAAGAAATCTCCTTGAACTACTCTTGTCCTGAGCACCGTGTCCAGTGCAGTGTCTAAATATCTCTGCTCCTCAGTGAGGCTGTAACTTGGCAGCATGGTTGGAGTAGTGGTGGCAAATCTCCTAGATGAAGCTGTGTAGAAGAAAACCACCTCATCTTGAGTGTTCATCTGTCCAGGTGTTGCTGGAAGGGCAATGCTATTTTGTGACTTCCAAAGCAGTGTGTTTTTCCACTCTGCATTGCTGAGTGCAGTTGGATTCACTCAAGTGAAACTCTAAGGAGCTGTGCAGTGTCATGGCAAGAAGGTGTTTCTTACTGTGGGAAATACATTCCCCCCTGTTTACTTTTCTTCTGTCTCGTCAGGTTTCTGCATGTTTGTCTTGAGTCTGGTGAAGAAACACTATCGCCTCCAGTTCTACATGGTAAGGTGAAAGGCAGGGCCTGGCTGCCCCCTCTTGGAGGCAGGAGAAGGAATGGTGTGTAGGCTGCTTGGAGATGTTGTGTAGAGGACTACGTGTCCATAGATGCTTCTGTGCTGGTTGTGCATTGTAACCTGCCTGCAGATCAGCTCCTGTGAGCCTTAGGAAGGGGGTTCTGACCACGTTTCCCTGCAAACATGTGTTCTCATCTCTGCACTTGTGGGTGCTGTTTAGAAACTTTCTGCCAGCTGAGAGGACTGCACGAGGCTCCTTGACTCTAGCACTGAGGGTAGATGGCCAGCAGGGTTAATCTGGTGTGTGCCCCTCTCCTGGATTGAGGACCCTTTCCCCAAATGCCAGTAGGACACTGCTCATGTTTGACCATCAGCTGGTTTCACTTTCCAGTGTATCCAGCACACAGCTTGGGTATCTACCAGTTCCCTCCTCTTCTGATATAGTCAGAAGGCTGAGTGAGAGGTATGGGATAGGGCTGGGCTAAAGAGCATTTGGTGCAGCAGAAGTCTTCCCAGTGAAGGTCACCTCTGGGCTTGAGCTGAAGAACATGCCCATAAATTCCTACGGGTGGCTGTTCCCTGCTCCTGGGGACTCTGGGAGTTTGTCCTGGGAAAAGTGCATGCTGGAAATGCATGAGGGGGCTCTAGGCAGGCTGGACTGCATGCTGTCTTCTCTTCCAGTTTGGATGGACCCATGTGACGTTGCTAATTGTTGTTACCCAGTCACACCTCATCATTCACAACCTGTTTGAAGGAATGATATGGTGAGTTGCCCTGTGTTCTGAGTTGTTTTGGTTTCTGCAGCCTGAAACTGTCTTCTGAGTTAAAACTGTTCTTTGAGAGAAAAAAAAACCAGCCAGGGAGAATCATAGAATGGTTTGGGTTGGAAGGAACCTAGAAGATCATCTAGATCCAACCCCTGCATGGGCAGGGACACCTCCCACCAGCCCAGGTTGGTCCAAGCCCCATCCAACCTGCCCTTCAACACCTCCGAGGTGCTTCCTATGGGGGACCAACCTGTTCAGAATAGGAAAGCAAAAGATTGATACCTCAGTGACTCAGAACTTGCTTTGTCCTACTTGAGCAGTACAGAGAGTCGTTGTAAAGAAGCATCTGAGAGCTGTGGGGTGCAGGGACCTTCTGGGCACTGTCAGGCCTGTGTAGATGCTCTCCCTTTATACCCAGACCTGCCACATGGACAGGAAGGTGCTTTGATTTGGGGCAATGAGGAACTGTGCAAGGAAAGAGACTGCCCCCTTGCCCCAGCAGCAGTGCAGAGGGGCAGCCCCTTTGGTGGTCTCCCCAGAACCAGCAGTGCCAGGAACTCATTTGGGCTGCTCTAAGGTTGCATGTTCCTCTGTGTGTCACAGCCAGCCTGGAGTGCCTGGGGAGCAGCTCAACACAGCCTCCTGTGGGGAGAGGGGGTGGCTGTCTAACAGCATGTCACGTGTAGCAAAAGAAATGCTTAAAATCAGACCATTCTGGGTACACAACCTGCTTTTTAGTCTGGGATTAACCCCCCAGATGTCCCTAGGAGCTTTGAGTGGTCACTCCCTGCACGGCATTGGATGGGGAGATGTTGATGGGTGGGGCTGCAAAGCATCTCATGAAGCAGCTGCTCATTTAGTTACATCCTGGAGTTGTCTGGTGGTGGTGGCACTTGGCAGTGGTTTGACTCTTCTCCCCCCCCCCAGGTTCATTGTCCCAATTTCCTGTGTGATCTGCAATGACATCATGGCCTACATGTTCGGGTTCTTCTTCGGCCGCACCCCACTCATCAAGGTTTGTAACACTTTGGGGGGTCAAACACACTTTGGCCTTCTTTGTGTCTTAGTCCTGTGTCATCTCCCATTTTTGGGCTTCTAGTGGGTCTGATTTCATTCTCCAAATTAAACTTGCTGTGTGTCCCCATCTTTGAGGCTGTGAAGTGAACCATTGCAGACTGAGATGTTGGGGGCAGGTTCTGACCAAACACTTATTTTTTGGCTCTTTGGCATCAACTTCAAGCAAAGGGAGGCTGCATAGGTGTGTGCTGGTGTGTGGGGAGGTAGTTTGTAACTCTCTTTCTCTCTCTGTCTGGTAGCTCTCCCCAAAGAAGACCTGGGAAGGCTTTATTGGAGGATTTTTTTCCACTGTTTTGTTTGGACTGCTGGTGAGTAGCAATTGTGGTGCTTATTTCCTTGGTCTTTTCCCTTTGTAGGGTGGCAGGGTCTGTCTGTAAGATGCACACAAGCTTGAAGGTCTCCCAGCTCTTGTCAGAGATTTCCCAGTTTCCTGACTGCCAAGGGTTTGGACTGGTCCATGGCTGTGCTGTGTGCAGGTCCTGCAGATGGAGCAGTGAACTGGAGGAAGGTTTCCTCTGGTCCCTGGAGGAAAGGAAGACCCTGTTAGACCCTATGACATGTTTATTACAATAATTATCCTTGAAACTTCCTTTCTGCTGCTGTTGGGTGAATGCTGCCCCTCATTTCAAGGGCTGTGTGGGGAAATCACTGCTGGAATATTCCTATCTGGTTTTTGATGGTCTTTGTGTCTGGCTGTGTCCTTCCCCTCAGCCAAGGGGTGTCTCAGCCTGTTTGTACCAGGCTCTGAGCAGACGCAGTTACCAAACAAAATGCTTAGTCTGCCTTTAGCCACTTACTGCTTCTCAGGAGAGTAATCTTCTTAATGAAGCTGGGAGTGTGGCTCCCTCCTTGCTTGGTCTCCTTGAGTGGCCTTCTCCCTGGAGACCAGCCCTGCTGCATTGCTCAGGAGAATATTAATCCTGCTCTCTCTTGCTGAGTGTCTTCTTCTCTCTCCTTGGAGCTGTCCTACGTGATGTCCGGGTACCGGTGCTTCACCTGCCCTGTGGAGTTCAACAATGACACCAACAGCTTCACAGTGGACTGTGAACCCTCTGAGCTGTTCCAGCTGCAGGAGTACAACATCCCCCTGGTGCTGCAGTCCGTGGTGGGCTGGGTAGGACTCTGTGGTTATTTGATCTTGCTTGTTGGGATAGGAACACCAAGGAAAGAGATCAGGGTCTTCAAAGGAACATGACAGGGGATGATGGTTCATCCATCAAAAGGGGGAATTCAGCTCCACGTTGGCTGAAGACTCAAAGGAGCTGTTCCAAGTCTGCTGGGACATTAACCCACTTGAAAACCAACTGGCCTAAAGGCTGGAGAGCACAGCAAGAGGGGTGAGTTGTGGACAGTGCTGTTGTCATTAAAGATCTATCTCGATTTGTTTCTCTTTCTGCAGAAGACAGTCAGGATGTACCCCTTCCAGATCCACAGCATTGCCCTGTCCACTTTTGCCTCCCTCATCGGGCCCTTTGGAGGCTTCTTTGCTAGTGGATTTAAGAGAGCCTTCAAAATCAAGGTGAGGATGCTGAAGGCCATTTACATTTTAGAAAGGAAAGACTTAAGTGGTTGGCACCACTCTAAATAGTCCCTGTGCTCCGAGGAGTGGCAAGCTGGGAACTTTGGGGAAGAAGAGATTTGGTCACAGATAAAATGCTGGGGAAGGATCTAGGGTTTTTTTTTGACTGAATGGGGAGAGAACTTAACATTTCAGCGTTGATATTCTAAACCCCACTGTGGTGCAGAACCTGAAGTAGAGGAAGAAAGACCCAGTCAGGAAATTTTGCAATCTGAGGCTTCCCCTGATGTCTTGCAGGCTGTTTTTTCATATAAACAGTCTGTGTTCAGTTAAGATGCTTTGAAAGACAAGACAGGGTTGGAAGAGATAAACATTAACCTTCCTTGACCTTTGAGTGGCAGAGCTGAGTTAAGCCTTGATGTCCCTCAGGCACTGGTAGCCTTCATAAAGGAGAAACTTTTCAACAAGGGAGAGATTAAACCTTAGCCTGACTTTTGCTTTCCGGGAAGAATCAGAGCAAGGGTAGGAGTGTTGTGCTCAGAGGTTCACAGGCAGGTACAGGTCATGGCAGGTACAGGTAACAGGCATGTTAAAAATCCCTTCTGCTTTCACAGGACTTTGCCAACACAATCCCAGGGCACGGGGGGATCATGGATCGCTTTGACTGCCAGTACCTGATGGCCACCTTTGTGAACGTGTACATCGCCAGCTTCATCAGGTAGTTCTTGCTGTGGGGTGAGCTCTGGGGCCCTGTCCAGCCCCAGTGAGGTGCAGGCTCATCATTAGAGACAGATTAACATCTCCAAGTACAAGATAAAGAGAGGATATGGAGGTGTGATGAAGTCTTTCAGCAGGGTAATGCAGAGCTGGAGACACAACCCCTGTTTCCCCTGGTGTTTTTAATCCAGGCCCTCTGGAACTCCTCCATGTTCCTTCTGCATCCCTGTGACCCCTGAGCAGCTTTTGCAGAGCTGAATGAACAGAAAAATGTGATTTTGTATTATTAACAAGTATTCCTTAGCCAAGCATAGAAGAAAGCCCCTGTAGGTGCATGAAAGATGTACTGAAGGAGCTGAGGAACTGTTTTCATGTGGCTGCTTTGATTTTTGAGGGGGAGCATCTGCTGACAGGTTTGAGATTAGATACCAGGAAAAATTTCTTTACTGAAAAAGAGTGGTCCAGCATTGGAACAGGCTGCCCAGAGCAGTGGTGGAGTCACCATCCCTGGAAGGGTTCAAAAACCATGCAAACATGGCACTTTGGAACATGGTTCAGTGGGCATGATGGTGCTGGGTTAAAGGTTGGACTTGATGATCTTGGAGGTCTTTTCCAACCTTAATGATTCCATGATTCTGATAAAGGAAGGTGCACAACCATCTTGAAACAGGTAGGGGTTAGGGTTTTTTTTCTCTTGACAGTTCAGCATTTTCAATCCATTTTCACACCTCAAATGGAGCTAATATCCCTGGGTAGAACTGGGGAAGGAACAGGCAACGTGAGCTGTGGCTTCAGGGCTGTTATTTCCATGAAGCTGCACTTGGGTTCCCAGATCATGAAGACTTAGCAGTTTGACTCACTGGTAATGATGCTTGTGTGTTTCAGAGGTCCTAACCCAAGCAAACTGATCCAGCAGTTCTTAACCTTACGGCCAGACCAGCAGCTCCACATCTTCAACACCCTCAAAGCCCACCTGGTGGACAAGGGGATGTTGGGCAGCTTGGAGGACGTGTAAACAGCTGGGCACGGGGATCAGGACAAATGGACAAGGCTCTCTGAGGAAATTTCCTGGCTTGCCTGATTTCAGACAATAACAAGGCCTCATTTCACTGTCACTCTTCTTCCTTTCTTGGTAAATGTTTGCATCTGTGGGTTTTTTAAAATAATATATTTATATAGCTTTGGTTCAAATGAGCAAATCTAGGGTTTGTAGCTGAGAAGGAGTGAAGGCTTGGAAGGACTGTTGGGTGAAGTAGGAGGGTGCAACTTGTCCTCGTGGTCTGTTCTGGACCTTCCATGCATGTGGGCAGAGCTGAACTGTTGCTGTGAGTGTTGAGGCAGGGAATACACCCCGTGCTGTCCAGACAAACCCCCCAGTTTGTGGGATCCCACGGGGCAGGCCAGGCCGGATGCTCCCCTGGGCCAGGCTGTGGTCACCCTGGCAGCTCTGGGGACATTCCTGGTCTCTGGTGGTAACTGTGGATGCAGTGTTGGTTCTCCCAGCAAGCCACAGTGATGCCTGTGAGCAGTGTCCCTGCAGACTGCACAAGGTTCAGGTAATTGAAGAGGATCTTGGACTAATCCAGCCACGTTTCCTCTGCCCAGCCAGGCACGTGCATCTGGTTTCTCTTGCTGGTATTTTCTGCAGTGCCTCTCACATTCCCCCCTTATGGCTGGTATGTTGTCAAATGGGATTTTTATAACCAACTAAATCAGAACTAGACTGGGGACAAGGAGTCCAGAAACCAGTAGTTGCTTGTGGGAATGTGGGAGGTTCAAATTGCTTCAAAACTGAATGAAGTAAATAGGTTTTAAAGAACATTGAAATTTCATTGAGTAATTCCTGCCAAGTAAGAACAATCCCTTAAATAACTTGGGTCGTTTCCCTCCCCCCCCCCCCTCAAAAAACCTTTTAAGAAACATTGAACCACACGTTTTCATTTCTTGATGGTTGGAAATCCCACACTGGGATATTGTAACTAGTTGGAAGAGCAGATTCCAGCTTGGATTTTTTTCTGAAGTTTGCTGGCTGGGGCTGCAGCCCCTGCTGGAGCTGCCAGCTGGTGTTTTGTTTTTCTTTCAGGGATCATGTCTATCACTTGTTTGTTACTTGAGTTCTAGATGTCGTGCTGCTGAGTTTATCATGGTCTGTGTTGCATTTCAATCTGGGTTCATTTACCTGCAGGTTTCTGTCCTGCTTTGCTTACTAAATCTTGTCATAAATAGTTTGTACTTAATAGTTGTAAGTTTTATCAAAGTACTTTCCTTTATTTTGTCATACTTCTTTTTTATTATTTAAAAAGGAGAGCCCTAAAGATTGTAAAACTTTCTTTCTTTTTGGCTAGATAGTGAAAATACCCCTGGCTTACACCTTAAGCAATGTTCCCAAACACAAGGTGACTCTGATTTTCCTTCTTGCCATAGTTTGTGCATAGGAGAGAGAAACTTTACCTTCTTTTATCTTGGGGAAGGAGTGACAGGGAAGGACAGTCCAGGAGTACATTGCTGTTTTCATCAACCCTAGTCACAGACACCCCCCTGTGGACACATGGACACACTGAGAGCTAGCTAAGCAGCAATGGGAAATAAAAACACCTGAAGATACTTTGAGGATCCTGCTCCATATCCTGATTCTGCCATTGCTTCCATTGGCCCTGAGTGAGCCAGTTTGGGTGTAAATGCAGGAATAGTGGCCAACCTCTCTCTTACGTTCCTACAGGACTTGTTCTGTGTCATAAGCTCTGCTTCATCTCCTGCAGCAGGAACTCTGGGGCAGAAGTTTGTCCCAAATACAGGTATTTGATGGGAAGCACAGACTGCAGAGAAGAAGGGGCTGTTTCCACAAAGTACTTTCAGGTTGATGCTGGCCAAGCTGCTGGTTTCTGGCAGGAGTCGGGATGGCTACGATGGAGCCTGTTCAGGATTGCCTGTGGTTAGTGCCAGTGGGAGAGGCTTTCCTGGACTAGTTGTCCAGCTTGAATTAGGCAGGGATTTATTCTTTGTCCACTTAGAGGGTCTTGCTCCAAGCCCCTGCTTTGAAAACTGGAGGGCAGAATAAATGTGCTTCCATCTTGCTTGGCCCAGGGCAAGTATTTGATCTGTGTTTCATGAGAGCTTGGTTGGGTTTAGCTGGGCAAGGTGAGGGCACCTGCAAGGAGAGCTTGGGCTGGGAAGAGGTGGGGAAGTGACAGGCTTTGCATAGTCCCTGAGCAGCACTTTGCCCTGTGGGGTCAGAGAAGCTGGTGCTTTCCTGGATTCTTCCTGCCCGTTGCCCAAAAGGCCCAGGAGTGCAGGGCTGGGTCATGAGAAGCAGCCACAGTGTTGATACATCTTACAAAAGTGAACTGCTCTTTGTGTTAAGAACCTTTTCATCTGGGTCTTTAGTCTCCTGCTGGCCTCACTTGGAACCGTTTTATCCCTCTTTAGTTGTAATTAGTGGGGCAAGAACCCAACGTGTGCTTTTGGTTTGAAGCAGCCTCTGGGCCTTCCTGCAGGGTGCAGTGCTGGGTGTGGACACCGGAGGGCAAAGCAGTTGCATCTAGTGGCTTCCTCGGGCTGGGAGAGGCAGCAGCAAGAATCCCTGGGGGTGACTTTCCCAATGAACTTGCAGCTTTAGTCTTGCTTCCTTCCCACAGTGCAGCTAAAGGGTGGACTTCCGAGGTTGTTTTCTTCCTGAAGGGTCAAGATGGAAAGGGTTGAGCCGAGTAAACTGAAGGGGAAGGTGCATCCATGTGAGAAATGGAGGAGGAGTGGAGGGAGAGGGGGGTTGTGAAGGTGATTTGCAGGCTGAAAAGCTGACATTACTGCCCCTGGCTATCCCTGGAGGGGTTAACTGTGATGCCAAGGGGTGTGTAGCAAGATGCTGCATCTCTTCTCATTGCATTTAGCCTTGCAGGACCTTGGCTGTGCTGCAGCTCTCCAGAATTTGGGCTGGGAGGGAGGCTGACAAAGCCAGCACTGCTGGAGAGGCCAAACAGACAGCAGGGATGTCTAGGTAAGGTGACACAGGGATGCTCACGTGAAGTTTCTCCAGCTGCAGGGCTCAAACTCAGCTTTGGACAGTCCATTTTGTTCACAGTGGGCTCCACAACTGGAGAAGTCCTTCCTGCTTGTGCTCAACAAGAGGGAAATGACTGTGAGAGCAGAGCAGCAAGGGGAGCTCCTGTATCAGCCAGTGTATGTTGGGTTGGAAGGAAGAGAACAGTAGGATTTGGCCAATGTGAAGGCTCTGAGGTGTGACTGCTGCTGGCAGGGGACAGGCTGGTGTGGAAACCACCTTTTCGTGAGTGGTCACTGCTTTTCCAGAGAGGACATGAGTGAATTTAAGAAGCAAAGGGATGACACGTGGCTAGGAAGCTGCTTTTGCAGAGTGTGAGAAGCTCCTGTCCTGCTGGTGACTCTCAGAGCTCATGAGGTGTGTTGGCTGGTGGGTGATGTGGCCATATGGGGCTGGGAGAGGTCTGGGTAGAGAGCACCTGGCAGGTTCTGATAGGAATTTGCTTCCCCAAGTCTGGTTGTAGCCCAGATTAGGTTGTAGATGGGATGCACAGCCAGACCATGGCCTGTGGTGCTCAGCAAAACATCTAAACTTGCTGTCTGCCCGTGGTGTCGTGTCCTGTGCTGATCAGCAGGGAGTGTTTAGATGCTCCTGGGGTGATGGACTCAGAATTCTGCTGACACTGACCTGAAGGGGCAGCCATTTCCCGGGGTTTATGGTACCCTGTGTGGCTCATGAAGCTGAAAATCCCACAGCATCTTGGCACCAGGTTGTGAAATACTGGTATCCACTGCTCCAAGGAATGTCTCCTGCTCCCAGTGTGTGCAGGAAGGTTCCCCTGATCATGGTTGTGGTGGGATTTGGGCATCTCTTCCTTCCCCTGCCTCCTCTGGCCAGCTCTGTATGACAGGAGAGGGGACAGGGGACAGGCATTTGTCACAAGCAGCACAGTGTAAAAGCTCCAGTGGTTCCTGTCCCTCTCCCCAGCCCTGCAGCTGCAGCTTGTGCTGCTGCCACCTTTGTGTGCTCCTGCTCTCCAGCCCTGATGTGTTTCTTCCATCTGCTTCTTTCTCTGTGCATTGTTCTTTTGATTCATGTTTTAGCTACACATGTAGAGCTGCCTTTCTTTGACCGGATGTCCAGATGTGAGATATTGTATATTTTAAAGTATTTACCCTATTTATATACTCAATGTTACTGTTCAATAAAGATAAGTTCCCTTCTCTGCAGTGGAGTTTCATTCGGCGCTGTCGGCAAGAGGGGGAGAAGCTGAGAACCTCCTTCCTGTGCTCTGTAAAGCAGGTTGGTCTGTTCTAAACTCACATTCCCTCCTTCCTCTGGGATCTTCCCAAGAACAGACCTGGTTGTGGCAAAGACACACATGAAGGCTGCAGATGGGCTGAGCACCCAGGCAGGACTGGCCTCCCCATGTCCTGCACCAGGGACACAAACCAGGGTGGTTTCACTGGAAGCTGTGACCAGATCTCACAGGCCCACCTTGACCAAAGATGATTTGCACCCTGAAATCAGCTCATTTTGCCCCAAAGATTTTATTGGGAATGAGAAAAAATGTTGGAAATCCACTTCAATGCTTCATTTCAGTTGTTTCTCCTGGCTGCTGTGGGGTTAGCAGAGCAGAATCCTGCTGTTTACCCAGCAGAACTTACTGGTTTTAGCTCTTGTCTTTGTCTGGTTTTGCCATCAGTGAAGCCAAACCAACCCATCAGCAGCCTCCTCTTTGCTTCCTGTCACACGGGGAGGGCATTGTCAGATGGATGAACCCTCCACCAGCACCACAACACGATGCCCTCTCTTTAGAGCAGCTGCCTTGCAGAATGAAAGCCCCACATCTCAGGTTGGGCTCGGAGCAGTCAGCCAGTTAAGCAGAAAACTGCTGAGCAGCACCTTGCAGAATTCAGCAGTCACAGGGTGCTGGGGTGGGAAGGGACCTCTGGAGATCATCCACCCAACCCCTGCCAGAGCAGGGTCACCTCCAGCAGGTCCCACAGGAACACCTCCAGCTGGGGTTGGGATGTCTCCAGAGAAGGAGCCTCCACAGCCTCTCTGGGCAGCCTGGCCCAGGGCTCTGCCACCCTCACAGCCAACAAGTTCCTCCTCAGCTTCAGATGGAACTTCCCACCTTCCAGCTCCTGCCCATGGCCCCTTCTCCTGGCCCTGGACACCCCTGAGCACAGCCTGGTCCCCCCTCCTCACACTCCCTGGAGACATTGATCAGCACTGAGGAGATCCCCCCTCAGGCTCCTCTTCTCCAGCTGAGCAGCCCCAGCTCTCCCAGCCTTTCCTCACAGCCAGATGCTCCAGCCCCTCAGCATCTCTGTGGCCCTGCCCTGGCCTCTCCAGTAGCTCCTTGGCCTTCAGCAACTGGGCAGCCCAGAACTGGACCCCATTCTTCAGATGGAGCCTCACTAGAGCAGAGGGGCAGGAGAACCTCCCTGACCTGCTGGCCACCCTCTTCTTGATGCCTCCAGATGCCATTGGTGAGTTCTGTGAAGTGATTAGATGCCACTTCCCAGGTGTCTTTTTGGAAGATCCCTTGGTGTGTAAATCTTTAGGAAAAGGCAGTGGGCATTCTCTGGGCAGGCTGCTGGTGGGGCAGGGTGTGTGCTGGTGCCTGGCACTGGGTCAGACCCACCTGACAGCCCTGCCTGGCTGCAGCCCTGCCTGCGTTTCAGCTCTTCTGCTGAAGGTCTCTCCTTGTCCCTCCCCATGCTGTAGCAATTTAGGTGAATCAAACACTGAGAACTGTAAATTCCCACTGTAAATCCTGGTGCTGACTGTGCTGCACACCCAGAAAGACAGGCAGGCTCTAACCAAGGCTGGCCCTGTGCACGGAGGTGTCGTGCAACTCTCTGTCCAGCCACATTTTCCATGAGACCCTGAGAGAAGAGGGATGTAAAACCAAAACAAACAACCCCGTGGGCCAAGATGTGCCCTTTTTCAGTTCCCCTGGATCAGTCAGTTCAGGCACAGGCTGCCTGGCTTGATTAGTAAGGAAAAAAAAAAAACAAACCCAATCTTGTGATGTCCTTTCCCAAATCTGGAGGCAGCCACCAGGTACCCGATGGGGGGAAGCAGGAGGCAGCTGGAACAGCTCTCTGGGCTCTTGCAAAGGGCTGGTGTGGGCTGAGCTGCTGCAGGGTGGGCACACAGTGTTGGGCTGAATTGCATGATTTGGGGCTAAAACGTTTTGCTGTTTCCTTTTCTAGAGGGCAAAGTGCCATGTGACATCCTGTTCACACGGGCAGGTGGGGAAAGGAGGCTGCTCAGAGGCTGCTGCTGGGCTTTGGGGAGCAAAAACAGGCTGAAGAGTAAAAGGATCAAAATGCACAGCCACCTGAAACTCCTGCAGGTTTCTGCAGATATTGTTAAGAAGAGGAAAAAATAATGGGCCCGTTCAGGGTTCATTCAGGGTCCCCTGCTTGGGGTACAGCTGAAAGAGTTAATTCAGGCAGCTTGGGTCCAAAGTGGGTTTTGGGGTTAATCTCATTCAGTCTGGGGTTGGTGCTGGGCTGCTGCACTGGAACAGCAGCACTTCCCACACCCTGATGTTCTCTGGACTTTCAGCAGTGGAATATGTGAGCCAGGAACCTCTGAGCTGGCTCCAGTCACTGCTCAAGGCAACAAATCCATTTTTCAGCTGTGATTAACCCCAAGTCGCCCACCCTGGCTGTGCTGTGACAAGGCAGTGAGCACAGGCTCCAGCTCCACTCCCAAGAGGCACATCCTGCTTTTATGCTATGGCACTAAACAAAAAATAAAGCCTTTGCAAGAGGCTCTGCACCCTGGGCAGAATGGCTGGGCTGCAAATCAGAACAGGAACCAGTGGCAGGATCCTCTTTTAGCCCCCTGCACTTCCCTGCTGCTTCTCTTCAGGGCAACTACCCACCCCACAAGGCCTGAGACATGCCCAGTATGGAGGAGAAATGGGGGCTGGAGCCCTCCACGAGGTCTTCAGGGCACATTGCCACGTCTGGCAGCCACCCTTGCTGCTTTTTGCTCCATTAAATGACAAGAAACAGGACACACTTCATGTTGCAAGCAGGGAAAGGGGCTTTGCTGGGTCCAGTGGCCCTGGTGGGGTCTGTACCCACATCCCCAGGCCCTCACTGCTCTGATACCCAGAGCATTTCCACCAAGAGCAGCCTCATTTCATCCCTGATTCTGCTTGTTACCAAGTGGGTGTACAGACCTTCAGTCAGCTGTGGGGACAACCCAGCAGCTGCAGCAAGAAAATGCAGAGACACCCGTGTCGTCGGGGCCGCGCGCGCGGAGATGCTCTGCTCTGCTCTGCTCGCTGTGCAAAACAACCTCCTGAAACTCCCTGCTGGGCCGTGTCTTCCAACGGGCAATTTTTCTAGCTCACCAGCAGCCCCAAGAAGGACACCCACTTCCTCAAATGCAACGAGCAGCGCCCAGAGCAGCTCGGGCAGCCACGTCGTGCGGGGCTGGGGCCGCGTCCCCGCGCCGGCCGAGGGGGTGACAACACAGCGGCAGGGAAGGTGGCATCACCTCAGTCCTGCTGAGAGAGCAAGACCAGAGCTTCGCAGGAAAGGAGGGCAGGAAAGCACTTTTGTGAGGTTGCTCACAGCCAGTGTCAGAGGAAGGAGGAGGAAGTAGGTTGGTAAATCAACCCTTGCCGAGCCCTTGGTGGGGGGAATCGCTCCCCGGGCTCCCGCGGGACCAGCAGAGCTTCGGTTCAGCCTCAGCAAGAGCCCCTTGGGAAACTGAAAAAAAAAAAAAGAAAAAATAGGCAACAAAAACAAACAAACTACAAAAAAAAAAAGCAGCCCCTCCTGATTCAAAATGTCCCTTAAGCTGCCACGGAACTGGGATTTCAACCTGAAAATGGATGCTGCAAAAATAGGTACCGTGACTGTTTCTTTACATCTTCTTGTTTCTGCTTGAGCCTTTCAGGTCCAAGGCAGGGTCTGCCTGTGGCCAAGCCCAGCAGTGATTCTGGCTACAGACCTGAACCTGCTGCTGGCCTCAGCGGGGGGACCTGGCCCCCAGCTGCTGCTTTTGAGAGAGCAGATGGTTTGCAAATGATTTGCAAGAAGTGATTTGTAAAGTTGCCACCGAGGGATGCTGGGGGAGCCAGGGCTGCCTGGGTGGGGTGGGGACAGGGGGACCTGGCAGCCTGGGGATGCTGCCCACCCCAAATCCAGGTTTTTTGGGGGGCATTTAAACCACATGGGCTGATTCTGCTGGCACCAGCCTTGCAGGAGGTGAAGTGCTGGCCAAGGGACAGACAGAGCCATGTGGGCTTCAGGAAACAATCTCGCTCTTGCTCAGGTTTCTTTGCCCATCCCCACGTCACCGTTTCCTCTCACCAGTGGCAAAGAGCCCTCTGATGCTCACACTGGGCTCTGTGCCACAGGACAGCTTCACTGTGGGATTTTCTGACCCATCTCCTGGCTCTGCCTAGGCTTTGCACAGCTCTCCTGTGCCATGGGATCCATCTCCAGCATGGAAAACCTCTTGAGACCACCTTTGGGAAGGAGTGAGGGGTCCGTACAGGGGGCTCTGTGGCCAAAGTAACAGCAGAGCCACCACTTGCCTGGGGGTCAAGCAGCCAGGGAGGGGGCTGAGGGTAAGGAAGGGGTGCACAAGCCCAGCTCTGTCCTGGCACTGGTGCCAAGACACGGTCAGAACACATGCTGAGGACTTGATTTCTCCCTGATGCAGCCAGATTTGGCCAAGCTGGTCTCTGTGGTGCTGAGCTCTTCCACCTTGTGACACCCTTGTGTCAGTTTCTAAGTCCATCCTGGCTGGATTTTTCTTGCAAAGGCAACTTGGACTTCCATCTGAAGCTGTTTTCATTGGGGTGGCCAAACCATTTGCCCCACACAAAGCCCCAGACAAAGCACAGCTGGTCCCCAGTGCCTCTGTGGCTGGGCCTGGCAATGATGTGCAGGATGAGACCCAGGGTGGTCCTGAAGCTTTGCAGGCAGAGGGAGCAGTGCAGTCATCTCCTCTCATCAGCTTTCACGACAGTGGTGGAGAAATCCTCGTGCAGAAGGATCCTGGACTTCTGCATTGCCCGTTCTTAGGATAATCAGTCTTTTTTTTGCACAGAGGCTGCAGAGAAGTGGGCAAATTCAAAGGGTAGCTCAGAAGAAAAGGCCAGGGGACACTGAGCCTGCTGGCTGCTGGGGAGCAGAGAGAATGGAGATGGGACATAGTCATCAGCCCATGTTCTTACCAGGAATTGCTTTTTTTCAAGCAAACCTGCCCAGGATGAGGTTCTGGGTGCCTTTTGCAGCTCGTAGCTGCTGCAAGGCCGTGAGACGGGGGCTGTGTGTGTGTGTGCAGAGACCTGAGTGCTGGGGCACTCCCCTCAGGGTTCCAGGCTTCTGCCATCTTCAGGAGTGCAGCGGGGATGTGACTTGTGGAAAACAATTGCAAATTAGTCACCGCTGCCATCACTGCCTCCTCCTGCCTTTGGGACACTTCCCTGTCCTTGTCCCCAGCCGTGGCCGTGGCAGAAGCAGCTCAGGCCAGGGTGCAGGCTCCTCTGTGCTTCCTCATGCTGAGAAAAAAAGCAAAGCTTTTTGTTTCAATGAAGGAGAAAATGGCACTTGCAATTTTCCTTGCAAAACCTGTTGTGGCACTTTGCCTGTTTTTATTCCAAGTACCTGACATCCCTCCTGTGGGGCAGGAGGAAAGGGGACAGTCGTGTGGGCTCCTGCCAAGCCAAAGGTTTGGGGCAGAAGCCAGCAGATGTGGACATCATGGTAGCACCCAGTGCAATTTCTCCTACAATCCACACGTTGGCAGGGCTCCTCTTTTCAGGCAGCAGGACCAGTTCCCAGGGCTGGAGAAAGAGCAAGGATGTTTTGGAGGAAATATTCAACTTCAGAGGCAGTTACCCCAGGAAACGCTTTAGGGGGCACTAAATTTGCTCTTAGTGGCTCTTTCCTGCCCTGATGATGGGCAAGGATGAGCAGGCTTGAGTGTGGCAGCAACGTGTCTGTGGAGGAGGAGATGACTGCAGGTGCTGGGCCACCCTGCTGAGAGCTGGGGAGAAAGCTTCACCCCCATGTAAAATTTTCAGCTGTTCATCACAGATGAGCTGGGAATCACACTGTCCACAAAAGGCAGAAACCTGGAAAAGTGGTAGGGGAGAAAGTCACAGCCTTGGTAGGTCTGGTTTTGTGAATGCAGAACATTTTCCACTAGGCAAAAATAGCCTTGCTGAGTGCAAAGCCAAGGTGCCCACAGCAGCTCCCTCCCCAGACCTCTGCAGGAGCCCTGTGGTGGGGACAGTAGCTGCGGGGTGTTTGTGGGTAAGAAGGATCCTGCAAACTGCTATTTTGGCCTTAAATGGGCCCAGAGTACAGGGAGAGCTGTCTCGTGCAGAGAGAAAACACATGCTCATGTTGGTGCTTATCTGTGTGTCTGAGCAGGGCTGAGCCAGGGCTGAGCAAGGGCCTCCGGGTGCACCTTGAAAGGGCTGATGCTCAGAAAAGGGACCCAGGTGTACCCCTCTGAATGCAGGTTCCTTATGCTCCTGGGACAGGCTGCAAGGGAGGAGAACACACCTGATTTCCAGCAAGGACCAGGCAATTTCAGCTCAGGGCTGAGAGCAGGAGGAACCCCTGGGTAGCAGTGCCTGCTGGGTCACTTCCTTTCCATGATGCAGAGCCCTGATGAGCTTAGAGGGAGATAAGTATCTCCCATAAAAGGCAGTACTTTTCATAAAAGACATTATAGCTCCTTTCAAGTCCTGTGCAGCTGGAACATCAGAGCTGCTGGGCTGAGCTGAGCTCTTTGGGAAGGCTGAGCACAGAGCTGATGGATGGAGACACATCCCTGATGTCCACCCACTTGGGTGTGAGGACGGACCCTGCAGCAGCTTCAGATGAAACCCTGGTGGTCATGGGTGCTTGGGATGGAGACAAAACTCTGCTAATGTAAGGGCTAATTACACAGAACGAGTATCAGCATCTCTGTTTCATTGGGAGAGATGAGATCCCATGAGGGGCTAGGAGGACAGCCAGCAGGATTCAGGGGAGTGGTTTGGAGCCAGCCCACTGGGATTTGCTCTTTGGGAATAGGCTGTGGTTTCTGCAGAGCAAAGAGCTTGTGGGAGGCCCCACCCCATTCCCCAAAAATCCTCACCCCTGAGGAGTCGGTGGCAGTGACAGGATGTGAAGGATCATGTTTTAGGGAGAGGAATGATGCTGCTTGTGAGCATTTTGCTGAGAATCGTATTCATGTGCATGAGACGTGAGTAATGCAGAGGTTTTGGCAAAGAGCAAAGCAGCTGCCCAGAGCAATTTGGAAACCTTGTTTTGGCTTTTGCATCAGGGTCATTGTACCTTGTACCAGCATTTTTCAGGGGAGCTGCCTGGCAAATCCCTTTTGAATGTCCTTGTTTACAACCACATCCTCTGCAGGCAGCATCCCACAGCAGCACGCACTGAGATACAAGCAGCATCTTGTTTCAAAGATGACCTTGTGTTTCAAAGGCTGATTTCTGGATACACAATTTTTGGAAGTGGGTTTGCAGTCCTGTGATGGGTTTGTAGTGGAAAGGTGAGCTCAAAGTGCCCCACTCAATCCAGGCTCCAAAGGATGAAGGCAAAGCACAGTGAGGTTTCTTGCTCCAGGGAATTCTGGAAGGGGAAGCTAGTCATGCTCCTGAACTGTAGCACCCCTGACCTCTGAGACAACAGTAGCTGCTCATCCTGGAGTACAAAATGTTTTGTAGGCTGATGGGGGTGCCTGTGTCCTGAGAGGGCCCACTCAGGCACAAGATGCCCCCAGTCACAAACACTGCAAATCAGCAGTGGGTGATTTTTCATGTCCTCCTTTTTTAAACCTGCCCTTTACTCTCAGGTCCAGGCCAGGATTCACCAACACTCACATCTAATGCAGCTTTTGCAGCTCTCTGCTCCACTGACCAGCCTAGGGGAAAAGCAGGCATCTGGGAGAAGAGATATGGGGCCACCACAGCTTCCCCCACCCCACAGCATTGCACAACACCCCCCGCACAGCCCTGGCTCTGCCAGCCAACCCTGCTGGGCTCAGGGGCCTGGATCCTGCTCCATCCTCACCCAGCTGGGTGCCATCAGCTCCATCTTAGCAGGGGAGACTAAGACCTCAGGAAACCACCATCTGCAGAGACCAGTGAAGCTGATTTCCCCTGGAGTCACACAATTTTTTTTACACTGTGACCACAGATGCTGACTCTACCCAGCTGGGTTGGCCCTGGGGTCCTGCAGTGCCTGGTCCAGAGGCAAAAATCAAAGTGTCCCTTCTGGAAATGATCCTTCCTAAGGCATTTCCTATCACAGAAGCATTTAGGAATGTCACGGGGCCATCCTGCTGGTCCCTGGCACAGGGCAGTGGTGTCAATGGGACCCATCTATGCAAACAGCAGACAGAGGACACTGCTTTGCCCAGCCAGTAAATCCACACTGGATCTTTTCGTCTTGGAGACTTTCCAACCTCATTGTGTGAGAACTGCCCCACTGGAAACATCAGGCAATGCCCTCCCAGAGAAAAACTCCAATTTCCAAACCATTGGTGTTTTTCCAAGCCAGGCTGGGTCATTCTGCTGGCGCTGCCGCAGCCTGGGCGGGGTGGGTGTAACAAAACCCCACACCCTCCCATCACCCAAATCAAATAAATAAATAAATAAATAAATAAATTTCAAGCAAACTTGCCCAGGATGAGGTTCTGGGTGCCTTTTGCAGCTCGTAGCTGCTGCAAGGCCGTGAGACGGGGGCTGTGTGTGTGTGTGCAGAGACCTGAGTGCTGGGGCACTCCCCTCAGGGTTCCAGGCTTCTGCCATCTTCAGGAGTGCAGCGGGGATGTGACTTGTGGAAAACAATTGCAAATTAGTCACCGCTGCCATCACTGCC